TCATCTCTCTGCGTGGCGCCCAGGGCCCGAATGAGGGCGTCCAGCGTGTCTCCTCGGCCATGCGCCTGTGAGGGGGACCTGCCGCTGTTATCTGACTCCTCACCGAGTATTTGTTTGATGTCTTCGCGCCAAGAGGTTGTAGTGCCCTGTGCCCCTCCTTCTGCAGAAGAGGGAGGGTGGCGACCTCCGGCTCTTCCAGCACCTGCATTGCCACCTCTGGCGTGCGTCCTGGCGCGTCGGGCCTGCATCCCCCGTTCCACTGCGGTCCTGTCTGCTGTTAGGGTTGCCTCCTGGAGGTGTCCGAACGGGTCAAGCCAGCTCATGGTGCGCTCCTGGAGCTCTGGGTGGATGTATCCCCCTGGAAGGGGGGCCTCGATCACTCTCCCTGTCAGGCGAGATAGGGTTGCCGCTTCGAGCCCGAGGCGGCGGTGCGCTCCCTGTAGGGAGGCAATGCCCATGGAGTGCCACCGCCTGGCTGCGTGCGCCACTAAGGAGCTAGGGATCTCAGTGGCCTCGAAGACGTGCTCGAGTGTGCCCCGACCCCCCTCTGTGGCTGACTCCCAGATGAAGGGGACCAGGAGCCTGCTCCAGGTCATGTTGTTCGGTATGCTGTTGCTTGCGACCTGCGCGCGGATCTCCGTTATCTCATGTAGCAGGCGGCGTGCGCTGCCCTCCCTCTCTGGGGGCAGCTGGGTGCCTCTCCTCGGCTGATGCCCATCGCCGGCTCGGTTCTCGTCTCCCTCTCTCCTCATGCTTTGCTGGTTGACTCCACTAGTCACAGGGGAGCCCACCCCTCGCGCCCTTGTGCGCAGCGCGATTGCGAGACGCGCTGCTTCACCGCAGGGGCTGGCTGGCGCAAGGTGGTCGGTGATGAGTCTTCCATCTCTTCTGGCGGAGGCAAGTATGGCTGCGCAGGCCACCTCAGTCGCCTCGGTGCTCACGTCCTGCGCCTCGATGGAGGCCCTGTCCGCGGGGGTGGCGAGGAGAGCTTGATCCAGAAAGTTGCCCCCTATCTCTCCGCGGAGCCATTCGGAATCCCCCGCGGGGAGGTTATCAAGGCACTGTTGGTATCTTGTCCTCAAGTCCTGAGCCCTGGGCCTAGCGCCCGCTGGGTCGGGGAGTTGGGCTGGCAATGCCACGATGGAGGTTTGGGCAAGGCCTCTAGGCACCCAATCGCGTAGCAGCCCGCTGGAGGGGATTCCCCTGATGCGGTCCCGGATTTGGGTAACAGTCTCCAGGGCCCATCCCTGCGGGGCGCTGCAGAGTCTGGAGAGGGCGCCCACCGCGGCTCTGAGCATCGGTTCGCCTCCCAAGCTCGCGTCGTCCATTTCGGCAGTCGGGTGCCAGGATTCGTTTGCGGCCCTGCTGCAGGCGAGCGCCATGTCGGTCATGTGGCGCCATGCCGCGAGTTGCTCCGAGATCAGCCATGAAAGGGGAGTAGCTGGTGGTTTCTGGTAGGTGGTCTGGGGGGCCGATGTGGCCGGCGATAGGGGCGCATCGCGCCCCCACTCTGGCCAGTTGGAAGATGAGCGGGGTGCCTAGTAAGTCGAGGGGGTGTCCTGGGGCCTCAAGGCTATCGGGGTGGAGTCCGTCCGTGGCCTGCACCCAGGGGGGGGGGCGAGCCTGTGACAGACAATGCACATGGGGCCGCGAGGGTCACGCGCCAGCCAGCAGCCGCAGTAGTCACATCTGTCGGCAGGGCGGAAGAAATCCCCGAACCTTATCATGTGGGATGTACTGTTTATGGGCCAGGGCCCCTCGGGCGTGCCGCCACCCTCGAGGATGGGTCCTGTGATGCCTGGGGATTGGGGCCCCGCGCCAGGGATGGCCGGGGCGGCCCGGCCGCCCTGTCCCGTTCCATGCTGTACGGTAGAAAGGACGTCGGCCCCTGCATCGGCCCAATGCCCTCTACTGACCGCCCAGTTCGTGACCTCGCTGTGGTCTAGCAGGTGTACCAGGTTGCGTCGGTGCTCGTGGACATGGTAGCGGCACAGCTTGGCTCTGTGCTCAGAGTCGGGACCAGCCACGATCGCGTCTGTTGCGTCGGGGGCTGCGTCGTGGCGCCACCTCGAGAGCCCTAGCAGGGGCGGCGGAAAGAGGCCCTCCGACGGGCCCCCCACCCCGATGTCTGTGTAGAGGGCGGCAAACCGCAGGGCATTATATTCCCTTTCCGTCGCAATGATCTCGGCCTCGGTTGGTTCGTCGCAGTCCAGACTCTCCATCTCAATAACAGGATCCTGTGTCAGGTTTGCATAACGAAAGGCCAATGCCTGGACTGGGTCCGGACCCACTCCTCCAAGTCTCGCTTCGTGGTCAGACCCTGTAATTGACCGCGCCAACCAGGACAGGTCAAGCTGAGCCATTGCCGAGGCGCAGGTGTACCGCTGTTGGGGGGGGGGGGGGGGGGGGGGGGGGGCTCCTGCTCCACTTGTGCCACATGGCTGGGGCCTGCCCTGAGGGGGCAAGGGGCGGTCCCAGCTATGAGAGGACCCTCGCTGATGGCAGCGTGCCAGGGAGGGTGGCGGAGCCAGCAAAACCTTACCATATTTTCGAGGCCCAAGCTCATTGCTTGGTTGCGGGGCGAGGCCTGGGGAGCTCCCTCCACGGGCCCTCCAATGGCTCGTGGTGTTCCACGAGTGCCGCTCATGCGCCTCCTCTCGCGGTGCCCCTTGGGTCGACGACCCTCGGGGCCAGGGAGGGCGCGTCGGCGTCGCGGCTGCCGCGTCGCCTGGGATGGGGGAGGGGCCTGCGAAGACCTGGTTCTACGCCATGATCAAGGTCGGCCGCCTGCCCTTCCCGACTGAGCAGCCTTGAGCCTGGCGGTGGGGGCAGGGGGGGGCCTGGAGGTGGAGTGAACCGGCGACCGCGGGCGCGAGTGGCTGATCCGTCATCGTGGTGCGCGTCGCTGTCGGGGGTGCTTCTGCTGGGCTCGCGGTCCTCCAAAAGCCATTCCCAGTCGACCTCGCCCCAGGGCTGCCGTCCGCTTTCGGCATCGATCCCAATCGGGTGGAAGGGGGGCGCGGGGGAGATCTCGCTGGCTTCGCCCGAGCCCGCATGGGGAGGGGGGATCAGGAGGGCGGCGGAGGGGGCGTGCGGGGGCGAGCGGGGTGGAGCGAGAGGGAAGTCCACCCCGCTGGCGCTGATCAAGTGCAGCGGGCTCCTGGGTTGGGCATCCTCGCTGTCGTCGTGGGCGTCCCGCGCGCCCGTCCTGGGCGCAGGCGGGGCTCGATCTTGGGGGGGGGGGGGGGGGGCTGTCTGGCAACCTGCGGTCACCAGCGTCATTCATCGGCATCTCGCTAGGGGGGGGGGGGGGGGGGGGGCGCAGCCCAAAGCCGCTGTCACTGATGTATCTTGGTTGAGAGGAGGGGGGGAATTGGTGGCGCAGCCACAAGCCGCTGAACACAGATCCTGGTCATGAGGAGGAGGAGGAAGCGGGGGGGCGCAGCCAAAAGCCGCTGTCACCGATGCATTGAAGGAGGAGGAGGGGGGGACGGCCCTCTGGTGCAGTGCTGTCTGCTCGGAATCCGCTCTTCCATCGTCACCTAGCGGCTTCTGAGGTGAGGTGCCCGTCACTGCAAGGGGGGGTCTGGTTGCCTGTCCCCTTGGTGGGTGGCCAGCGCCGTCCGCCTCTATGGGCTGGTTAGACTCGTGTCGACTCTCTCCAGAGACCTCGTCCACGGACGCCTCTTGGTTCCCTACAAGAGCCTCGTCCTCGGCCTCCGGGGGCTGGGTGGAACCTGCTGCCGGCGCTTCGCGCTCACGGCCTGCCCCCCTGCGGGGGGAGGGGGGGGGGCGTGAGCGGAACTGGGATCAGGACGGGATCCAGGGTGGGTCCGGAGGACAGGTGGTCGGGGCATGGCCCTCCAAGGGCGTCCGTCCCCGTGCTCCTTTCGCTCACGTCTGATCCGCCAGTCTGGTCTGCCCCGATGGAGGAGGGAGGCTACTGTCTGTGGGGACTCTGGACCTGATTGGGGCCTGAGGGAAATTCGACCGTGGCCACTGACTGGGCTCCCGCGCCCTGCACTGAGTGGTCCCCGCCCCCCTCGATGTTGTCAGATCGATCGGTTTCCCCACCCTCCATCTGGCCGCAACCGCCGAGGAGCCCACCCGTGGGCACAGTCTGCTGCAAGGGGGGCTCCGGCTGCAGCCCGCGCTGCCTGACAGCGCCGCTGCTAGTGTGGCGGGCGCGCGCCGGGGGGCCCGAGGGAGCCCAGGACCGCGGGCCCGCCGTGCAGCGTCCGGGCGCCCCCTTGAGCGGTGGGAGATTGCCCCGAAGGGAGCAGGCCCACCAGACGGCTTGAGCCAGGGCTACGGACGCGTGTAGAGATACGCAAAGCGTTACGAGTTCAACCGGGAAGCCCTTTCCTACCCCTGGAAGCCCCACCCCTCGGGGCCAAGCCTTCGAGCCCCCAAAGAGAAAACCTGCCCAGCCCATCCTGGGAAGGGTTTTCTGCGCCATCCACGCGGGGGACTCTCCTGGGCCGTGTCCAGCCGAGCTCTTCCGGAGGCCCCTCTCTCGCCCTCCTCCGTGTCCTCGTCCTCCTCGCCCTCGTCCTCGTCTTCATCGTCGTCCTCGCCGTCGCCGTCGCCGCCGCCGTCGCCGTCGCCGTCGTCGTCGCCGTCGTCGTCCTCCTCCGCCTCTGCCTCCTCCTCGTCCTCTTCTTCCTCCTTCTCCTCCTCCTCCTCCTCCTCCTCCTCCTCCTCCGTACCCTCTTGTCTTGATGCAGACCCCCTGGGCATCCACCTCCCGATCCTCCCCAGAGTCCCGCCTCCTGGACCCTCCCGGGCCATCTTCTGTAGACGCCCAGGGCGAAGAGTTCGCGAAGCTTCCCCAGGGGCTCCTGGGCACCTCCTCGATGGTCGGCGCACTCTCGCGAAGCGGGCGAGCGGTGTCACGCCGTGCGGCGTCCCAGGTCCATGTATATTGGGCGTTCGCAACAATATCCGTGCGTCTACCACGCGATCGGTCAGGGCCAGTTCCGAGCTTCTGCGGCCGAGACCTTCTTCTCCTCCTTCGCTGCGCCGGAATCGCCGCCTGTGGACAAATATACACGGGATTTTTGACTCCGCCCTCATGGTGTCACAGTGAACCGGAGCACACAATTATAGGGTAATGATGGGAACTTACCCAAACGCAAGAGGATGTACAACGGGGTGCGCGTAATACCAACACAGTCAAATTACGACTGACGATTTGGATGCGCGGGGAAACATTCAAGGATGTCAGGAAGACTCAGGGACGAAGGCAACATATGCACACGCGCAACACGTATACATACATATGTACGCATACACATACATTCGTACATTCGTACATACGTACACAGCTACATACACAGCTACATACATACATACATACATACATACATACATACGTACATACATACATACATGCATGCATACATGCATGCATGCATACATGCATGCATGCATAGATACATACATATATACATACTTACATGCATACATACATGCATATTTGCATACATGCATACATGCATGGATACACACAACCAAACATGCAGTCGTACGTACATGCATACATACAGACAGGCAGGCAGGCAGACAGGCATACACACGAATAGATAGATCAATGGGGGCCCTGGCAACAACTAGAATGCCCCATGGTGCTAGGCAAGATTGCATCGGCGCCAACGGTGGTGGGAACACATCGTCGATCGCATTCGTAGCGCCAATCGCTGCACATTTTCAGGCAGGGGGAAGAGGAAGAAAGAGGGTCGCTGGCCCAGCTGGGGCCCCTCTGGCCTGCGGTTGCGCCTGCAGCCGCAGCGCCGCCGCCACCTCCGCCGCCGCCGCCACCGCCGCCGCACGCGGCAAACTTCTTGGATCCCTCTGCGATGAGCTCGTGCACCTTCTTGCCTTCCATGCGGCTCATCAACCTGCTCAACATTTCGTCCTCGCCGTGGCGAAATGTAGATAAGACTTGCAATTTCAAGTAACAGGGATGTGTAAAGGGTTCGAGCCCTGGCAACCTTGGGAGGGCGGACATGAAACAGGAAACAGGTGTGATGGCATCCATCGATATGTTGTGTGCATACCGATTCCTGTAGTTTGTAGCTGACAAACGGCCCCTTGACGTGACAGCAAGAGGATAATGCCAAGTATGCATCATGCCGAATCTGGTGCGAATGTGCAACTTCCGCTGCGCGGATACTGGAACTTGGTGGAATGCTGATTGCATGACACGGCAGAGAAGGACCGAGTATCCCAATCCAAAAAGGGGCGCCTTCATCGTCCAAGACAAATTAAATCGACCTCCGAAGCGTCCACTATGGCCCCACATAGCCCGTCATTACTTCCGCCATGGCGAAGACATGACCTCACAGAGAGGCGCCAATGCCGACACCACCGCGTCAATTATTTCTGCAGGTTGCCTCTGGGGCACCCTCCTGGGCACACGATGTCCTATTGTTGTCTTGCGCAGCTTTTAGGTTGCCACCTATTGGCTGAATTGGCTTTCAATATTACCAACACAAGTTCCAACCTGGCGCGATCCCATTGAGAGGGTATTATTCCCCCCACATCCTAAGTGGGGTTCTTGAGTTCTCTGGACACGCTTCCTCACCCCCTCTCTCCCTCGCCATCACTCACCCTCACTCACTCCTTCACTCATCATCATCATCATCATCATCAGCAGCATCAGCATCTTCATCAATCACACACTCACTTGCACTCACACTCACTCAATCACACACTCACGCACTCATTTTTATCGTCATCATGATTGTTATCATTTACTCACTCATTCACTCACCCACCATCATCATTCACTCACCAATCATGTCGTCATCACTCACCCCTGGCATGACAATGGAGGATGTCTCAGGCGGGAGCCTCGTCTGTAAGTGAATTGCGAGGAAATCTCAGGCGGGAGCCTCCTCCTTGTGGGGTCCGCACTTCATGTTCGAATCCGAGGCGGGTCATCGGCATCCTGTAAGTGTCGTCATCTTTAGGATCATCAGGCATGAACATGGAGGAAATATCAGGCGGGAGCACTTTTGGGGCCCCTCAAGCCTGAAGATGGAGGAAGTATCAGGCGGGAGCCTCGTCTATGAGTGAATTGCGAGGAAGTCTCAAGCTGGAGCTCCCTCCCTGAGGGGCCCGAGTTTAATTCGAATCCGGGGCGGGTCACCGGAATCCTGTAACTGTTGTCTTTTTTGGGCTCCTCAGGCATGAATATGGAGGAAGTCTCAGGCGGGAGCTTCGTCTGTGAGTGAATTGTGAGGAAGTCTCAGGCGGGAGCTCCCTCCTTAAGTGACCCGCACTTCAGGTTTGAATCCGAGGCGGGACATCGGCATCGTGGAGCTGTCGTCACTTTTGGGCTCCTCAGGCCTGAATCTGGTATCAGGCGGGAGCCCCTCGTCTGTGAGTGAATTGCGAGGAAGTCTCAGGCGGGAGCTCTCTCCCTAAGGGGCCAGGCGCTTCATGTTCGAATCCGAGGCGGGTCATCGGCATCCTGGAACTGTCGTCACGCTTGGGCTCCTCAGGCATGAATATCGAGGAAGTATCAGGCGGAAGCCTCGTGTGTGAATGAATCGTGAGGAAGTCTGAGGCGGGAGCTCCCTCCCTCAGAGGCCCGCATTTCATGTTTGAATCCGAGGCGGGTCATCGGCATCCTGGAACTGTCGTCATTTTTGGGCTCCTCAGGCCTCAATATGGAGGAAGTATCAAGCGGGAGTCTCGTCTGTGAGTGAATTGTGAGGAAGTCTCAGGCGGGAGCTCCCTCCCTAAGGGGCCAGCGCTTCATGTTTGAATCCGAGGCGGGCCATCGGCATCCTGGAACTGTTGTCAATTTTGGGGTCCTCAGGCATGAATGTGGAGGATGTCTCAGGCGGGAGCCTCGTCTGTGAGTGAATTGTGAGGAAGTCTCAGGCGGGAGCTCCCTCCCAAAATGACCTGCACTTCATGTTTGAATCCGAGGCAGGTCATAGGCATCCTGGAACTGTCGTCACTTTTGGGCTCCTCAGGCCAGAGTATGGAGGACATATCAGGCGGAAGCCTCGTCTGTGAATGAATTGTTGGGAAGACTCAGGCGGGAGCTCCCTCCCTAAGGGGCCAGAGCTTCATGTTTGAATCCGAAGCGGGTCACCGGAATCCTGAAACTGTCGTCACTTTTGGGCTCCTCAAGCCTGAATCTGAAGGAAGAGGCGGGGGTCTCGTCTGTGAGTGAATCGTGAGGAAGTCTCAGGCGGGAGCCCCCTCCCTCAGAGGCCCGCGTTTCATGTTCGAATCCGAGGCGGGTCATCGGCATCTTGGAACTGTCGTCACTTTTGGGCTCCTCAGGCCTGAATGTGGAGGAAGTATCAGACGGGAGCCTCGTCTGTGAGTGAATTGCGAGGAAGTTCCAAGCGGGACCCCCCCCCCTGAGGGGCCAGCGCTTCATGTTTGAATCCGAGGCGGGCCATCGGCATCCTGGAACTGTCGTCTGCTTTGGGTTCCTCAGGCCTGAATATGGAGGAAGTATCAGGCGGGAGCCTCGTCTGTGAGTGAATTGCGAGGAAGTCTCAGGTGGGAGCTCCCCTTCAAAAGGCCCGCACTGCATGTTCGAATCCCGGGCGGGTCATCGGCATCCTGGAACTGTCGTCACGCTTGGGCTCCTCAGGCATGAATATCGAGGAAGTATCAGGCGGGAACCTCGTCTGTGAGTAAATTGCGAAGAAATCTCAAGCGGGAACTCCCTCGTCATCATCGTCGTCGTCGATGTCTGGTCGGCGTTTTGATTTTGGCGTCTAGGGGCCGTTCGGGGGCCCCGGGGCCGTCGAACACGGACCCGGGGCGAAAAACTGCGCCCGATACACTTCGGTGGAGGTCTGATGACCGATTTTGGGGACCGAAATCTGAGGAACGGGTTTACGTCGAGGTTCGAACTCCTAAGTTCAAGAGTCGAGGTCCGAAGCCTCTCGCCCCCCAGGGCTTTCCTCGTCGCCACGGCCGGCGGAGAGGGAGGGGAGCGAGGGGGGCGAGGAGGAAAAGGAGGAGGAGGAGGAGGAGGAGGAGGAGGAGGAGGAGGAGGCGGGCTGTCGCGGAATCATGTAACAGTCGTCACGCTCGGGCTTCCGAGGCTTCAATCTGGAGGACGCATGAAGCGGGAGCCTCCTCTTTGACCGAATTACGAACAAATTTCAAGCGGGAGCCCCCTCCCCATGGGGCCTGCAGATCATGTTGCTCATCCGAACGGGTCACCCCATCCCTGTAACTGTCGCCGCTTTTGGGTTCCTGAGGTTTGCCTTAAGCGAGGCGAAAGCTCTTGGCCTCGTCAGGTCTGCGAGCCTCTGGCCGCGTGCGACTCTTGTATCATCCAGCCAGCGTCGGCGAAAACCTCTGGCCTCGCCACCCGTGCGAGCCTCTGGCCGCGCAGGTGGTTCGGATTTCGTCGATGGCGAGAGCCCCAGTTCTCGCCAACTGCGGAGAATCTGGCTGCAGGTCCATGGCTTCAAGGAATCCCCGATCTACAAGGAGGTCGCCGAACTGCTGCTGCAGGGCGCCGAAGGCGCCGTCGAACACGGCGAGGCCGAGGCGCGGGCGAGGAGCTTGCTCATGTTCAGGCCCAGCAAGCAGGAGTTCACGTGGCAGAGCTCGGGGGCGCACGCTGTGCGCCGCTCGGGCTTCACCCTGACGCACGCGTCCTAGTTGACCTCCGCGCTGTCGCAAGGCCAGACGGTGCGCACGGGCGTCACCATCGACTGTGCGAGGGACGACGACGCTGGCCGCACGGGCATGTCGGACGAGCGGTGGTGGCTGCACCTCTACGTCATGTTCTCCCGCGCCACGTGCATGCGGAACATGCTGATCCTGCGGCCGCCCTCGCGCGAGTTTCTGGAGCGCGGGCCGCCAGCGTCTTTGCTGGAGGCGTTACAAAAATTCGAGGAGAAAGCGAAGACCTCCAGGTATGAGGCCGAGTAGTTTGCCGCGGAGCTTGGCTTCGTGCTGCCTCCCGCATGAGCGCCGCGGCGCGCAACTAGAGGCCCGCGGTGTTGTCCCAACGGTCTGGCCCGCGGGGTTGTCCCGACGGCCTGCCGCCGCGCCCCAGCGGCCCGCGGGGTTGCCCCAAAGGCATGGCCAGCGGAACTGTCCCAAAGGCTTCGCGAACCAGCCGTCGGCGAATGCGCGTGCGCTGGCCGAGGCGGCGACGGCGCCGATCTGCCTGCCCCGACCAGGGGCAAGGGTAAGCGCATGGAGAAGAACCAAGGGAAGGATGACGGCGGGGAAGGGATTGGGAGAGGGCGACGATGATGAGGAGGTGGAGAAGGGGGGAGAGGAGGGCACATAGAAGGAGACGAAACAATACAAGGAGGAAGAGGAGGAGAAGGAAACGGACAGGGCAGAACAGAGGGCGAGAGGAGGGTGTCTGCCAGGGCGAGGAGGAAACAAGGGCGAAGGGCAATCTGGACATATTCTCATGTGGGGTCCTTCCGTCGGAATAGCTCTCTGAAGGCGAGCATCTCGAATACAATGATGTGCATCAGGAAGCACTGCGAACAGTGTAAGCAGAGCGAGGCTGTGCACAACACCGCCTAGCATATACTTGCATACCGGTGCTGCGTAGTATCGGAAGGAGGAACAACGCGTAGCATGGGATGGCACAACATTGCGCACCGTTGTGCGTACGTGTATAGCTTTAAATAGTCGTGAATTGTACAAAATGACATGGCGTGGCATGACCATCACACATTATACCGTATCGTATGATCAGTGCGTTGTGTTGAATGGAGCACCGTAAAATGTCACAGCACGGCATTGCGCAACTCATCGTGTATTTGCTCATAATAATAAAGCAACCAGTAGCAGAGCGAACAATTGCACTGCCTGTCATTTGTGTGCCATAAGCTGATACAACATGGCAACACTAAACATGGCACATTTAGCCACGCCGTACTATGCCACATTAGTATTGAGTGGGTTGCATGACCTGTAAGAGCCAATCATTACATAGCGTAGCGTTAGGCACCGCAATACATCCTCGCACCCCCCTGTGAAGATCAATGTCCTTTAGAGGCCCGCCGGTGCCCCCCAAAGGCCCACAGGAAGCCGCGGGAGGCTCTCCAGAGGCCCTCACACGCACCCAAGAGGCCCAAAAGAAAACCTTCAGGAGGCCCCGATAAGGCCTCGTATTTCTCGCCCTCCTTCTTCTCCTCCCTCTTCTTCTCCTCCTCCTCCTCCTCCTCCTCTTTCTCCTCCTCCTCCCAGGCCATGGGGGGTCATTTGGGCTGGCCCCAAGACGCAAACAAACCCTCAATGGGGCTCCACCGCCCCATGCACATACAATATGGCGACAACTTGCTCACATGGCGCCGCAACCGTTGGCCCGTAGCACCCCCTTTGGGAGGTCGCCTGGGCGATCGGTTCTGTATTGGGTACGCCACCGCGGCACCACAAACTGGAAAGGTTTGTTCGGGCTGCTCCATTGGCCCGAAGACTCCCCAGCACCGGGGCTATCACTACGGTCGTTTTCCTTTGTGGGCGCGCCAACGAGGCGCCGCAAACCAGGGGGGGTGTTCGGGCTGTTCCTTTGGCCCGGAGGACCCTCCCGAACCTGTGTCCATCAACGCGCGCGCTGTAGCCTACGTGGGCGCCCTTGTCGGTTGTCGGTTGCGCCATCGAGGTGCCGCGCGCCACCTCGGCAACCGTGGCTCACGACGGCCCCGCTGTCGGATGATCAAGGTCACGGGGGTTGTTCGGGCTGTTCCCTTAGCCTTCACCCTCCCCCTCAATGCAGCCACTGCCACGGGCGGACGTCCTGTGTTCTGGGTGCGCCCACAAGGCGCCGCAGACCAGGGGGGGTGTTTCGGGATGTTCCCTTATCCCCATGGACCGCCCAAAATGGAGTCCAACACCGTGTGCACTGTAGCCTGCGCAAGCGCCCCCGTTGGCTATGGGTTGCGCCATCAAGGCTCCGCGCACCACCAGGGGCGCTTTGTCTCCTGACGGCCCCGCCGTTGGATGCTTAAGAGCGTCGTCAAGGAACCGCCAGTCAGGTGGTTTGTTCGGGCTATTCCCTTGGCCCGAAGAACCCCCCCGCCGCGCCAGAGCTCCCGCCGCGAGCGGTCATTTTCTCTTCTGGGTGCACCAACAAGGTGCCACAAACCAGGGGGGGTGTTCGGGCTGTCCTTCTGGCCCGAAGGACCCCGCCCCCAAACGGTGGACACCATTGTGCACGCTGTAGCCTATGTAGGCGCCCGCGTCGGTTGTCGGTTGCTTGCGTCTTCAAGGCGCTACACACCACCATGGCAACCTCAGGGTAACGATCGGTTCGTCTTCTGCTCTTCGTTTTGTTCGCTGGTCTTTGTCAGGCACCCGTGCATCATTGGTTTACCTTTCAGGGGGTCGGGCCATTACTTTTCGGCTTTCGGAGGCCTCTGGAAGACGTGGCGGGCCAAAAGGAAGGGTCGCCGCGCCCAGCCCCTCCAGGGGTCAACGGGCGGGCACGTACGGCCGGCCCATGAGAGCCGAGCCCGAATTCCCGCTGCGCCACCAGCGCCGACGCCTTTTTTTTTCGTTTTTTTTTTTTTTTTTTTTTTTCTCTCTCTCTCTCTCTCTATCTCTGGAGGGGATGAGAGGAAGTAGGAGGAGGGGGCTTTGGACACCGTACTCACAAATACATTTGAGGAACGCGTGCGGGCAAGTAGTTGTCCACCGGACAATTCGGCGTGCTGACCACACCAGAAGGCTCATCAATCAGAGCGTGGAGCACGCACGTTCCGCATTGTGAGGGGCGCGTTCGCGTACGACCCCGGCTTTTTCCCATGCGGGTACCTATCGCCCACACAAGCTCAGGATTTTAAGGATGAGACTTCCAAGCGGTCGTGGATCACCGAACTCCGTGGGTCGCCTCATCCTCAAACATGGGCTTAGGCGCCCTGAAGCCTATAGCGTACTTGGAAGTCCTCCTCCTCCGCCTCCTCCTCTCCCTCTTCCACCCCCTCCTTCCCCAAATGCTCCCCTAAGCGTTTCCGCAGCGGCTGAGGTAACACATAGTTCAATATTCTGGCCAAGCTTTGGCCCAGCGCTTGGCCACATATGCGTTTCCAGAAGGCAGGGGGTCGCGGTGGTCTCCTTTGGCGTCTGCGACAATTGGTGCGAGTAAAAGGCAACACCTCGGTGAATCGAACAGTGGGGCGCAAGACCAACGCGTGATGCTCACACCGCCTCCTCTACCCTTACTGGCTGACAAGCTGGTCTGCCAGGTAAATGCATGTCTTGCCGTACGCATAACAGCTGCTCCCAATTTACGAGCAGCCTCCCGAGATCACCCAAACCTTGGCGAAACCCCTCCTGCCCATCCCCGTGCTGTTCCTCCTTCTCTTCCTCCTCTTGCTCTGCCGAAGACACTGATGTGGATCCATGCCCCCCCCCGGCCACTGCGGAGGGCCTCCGTATCCTCGGTGCGACGAATCCGGTCGGTGGACCGCAACACCTACAGATGACTGTGGTGCATGGGCACCGTGTCCTCATAGTCGATGCCCCCGGCGCTCAGGATCTCCTTGATGTCGTCGGCCGTGGGGCTCTCCTGTCTCAGAGGGGCTGAGCAATTCCTGCCTGGCTGGCTTTCAGTTCGAGTTCCGAGGGGTGACAGCAGGTATGGTCAAGGATATGCTTTCTATTGGAAGCTATGCCATTTGTAATGCTGGGGCTCGCACAAGTCTCTGGACACGCCCGCAAGAGGGGCAACGTTCTCTCATGACTCTTCAAGACTGTCTACCGCGACGAGTTCTTAGAACCGCATTCGCTTCGGCTCTCTGGTCTGTCTGAGTGGGCCGGGATGGCGGCCAGGACGGACACGGGGCCCGCGTATCCTGGGAGGGGGAGGAGGAGGTGGGAGGAGGAGGAGAGAGGGTGCAACGAAGACGATGGGGACGAGGAGTCCTTTCCTCCTCCTCCTTCTTCTCCACTTTCCTCCTCCTCCTCCTCCTTAGCACTTCCTCCTCCTCTTCCTCCTGCCCCATTCGGCTCCGTAGCCATTCTGGCTCAAACCATATTGGCTCAATATTTGGGCGCAAGACGTCCATGCTCCAACGTCAGTCTCAGCACCCCGATACTCCGATACTCCTGCGTTGCAGCCCCTCCAGATACCACATCAATGGCTACCTATACAGGCGATGGTGACAAACGACAACGGAACGCTCCTGCCAAACGATTGCTCAAACAAGATCGTACCCACAACCCGCTGCACGAACTGGATAATCTTGATGAAAAAGGTGCGCAACACGGTCATGCTGCAAGAAACGCATTTGCATTACAAGAATGCGTTCCACGGCAATTGGATGACAATAGCGAGCCGCCCATGCTCGAGGCGACCGGCACATTAATCCAGAAAGAGTTGGACCCGATCAAACATGATACTCACGCGACTGAGTCACATGTTTTCGCGAATGGTTAGAAGCCGCATTATTATATATTAGTATGGTAAGATGACGGTTGCGGCCGTTATCGGTAATCTTAATTTGGAAAGCTGCACGTCAATTCAAACATATTTTCGTTTATCTGAGAAGAACTTGCAACCATGCAGGGCCCTATACCGAACAACATTTACAGCACAGGCGATTTCAACAACATACTGTTTGCTGAATGTGGGAGCGTCCTTGAAAGAGGCACGGCGGTTGCAAGCGCGGTGGGAAACCTGTGTGGGCAATACCAGACAGACCGCCGGCAGAACGCTCTGCCCGCAACCTCTGTTTTGGCTTGAAGCGGATTATTAAGGACGAGCTCAACAGTCCTTATGTCGTCAAGGTCACAGATGAGGCGCCATACCAAGTGACTGTGGGTGGCCCATTAGCGGTCGCTGCACATGCCACGGTTTCCAATACAGACAGAGAATTGGAAGGCACGTGGAATCTTGGGCCGCGTTGCACAAACACGACAACATGACCGATTTAATACACACGTGCGGTTCTTTGGCGCAGAAGGCGTCAACGGGCATGATGGGCGAAAGGAAAGGGTGAATCCAGAGGAACCGGCGGAAAGTAGGAAACACGGCGGGCCGACGCCAATACGGATACCATCATCGATCCAGAGAGTCTATCCCTTCTGGCCGGGCGTAGGCCATCCTATCACGAAGCGTGTTAGCAAAATAATGGGCAACGATGCCGCAACTTGCTCACTTTCTCCCTCGACAGCGTCATCTTACGCTACGCTCTCCTCGCCTGCAACATCACCGCTCGCAGGCAACAGTTTCATCCTCCAAGGTTCAAACTGGGGACGGCCAGAACCACAGTGCTATCCGATGGTGAGTATGTGCTTCGGGCGCTGGAGCGTGGAACGCCTCGTTCAAGACAACACAGAATTTCCAGAACTCGTGTATGTGAATTTAATTCTTTCTATACAGCAATCAGGGATGCCACAATCAACTTTATTCTACGAGGATGGGCATCATATCATGTTACCTGGCACGCCAGCAACTACATCTGGCCATTTTTATTCTGGAGTGGGCTTCGTCGTATTTTTCCCAACTGTCCTGTGGTGTAGGGTCGTCGTTTTGAAGAGACGGCGCCCCGCGTTCTCCTCCTCCTCCTGCCTCCTTCCTCCCCCTCCTCCCTCCTCCCTCCCTTGCCTCTGCCCTCCGCATGTATCTATTGCGGCACACCCCTCACACGTTTCGTAGACCCATAGGGAGCTTCACCGAAGGCCCCAGTGGCAAAGTTCGCATAGCGGCCCCGCCCCATGTCGGCGCACCCCTCACAAGTTTCGTGGCCACAGGAGGAGCTCCACCGGAGGCCCCAGTGGCAAAGTTCGCATGGCAAATATATAGAATATATATATATAGAAAGAGAGAGAGAGAGAGAGAGAGAGAGAGAGAGAGAAAGAGAGAAAGAGAGAGAGAGAGGGAGAGAGAGAGAGGGAGACAGAGAGAGAGATAGGAAACAAAACAAGACGATACATACATATATAGATAGATAGATAGATATTCGTATATATATATAGAGAGAGCGATAGAGAGAGAGAGTGATACATATATATATATATATAGAGAGAGAGAGAGAGAGAGAGAGAGAGTGAGAGAAACAAAGAGAAAGAGAGAGAGGGATAGAGAGTGAGAGAGAGAGAGAAAGAAATACAAAGAGAGAGGGAGAGAGAGAAAGGAAAGAGACAGATAGAGAGAGAGAGAGAGGGAGAGAGAGGGGGAGCGATTGCAAACATCTTTTCAGCACGACAAAACTGCGCAAGTGGGCGAGGGCCGCAGGGCCCCCGTCCCTAGAGTTCTGGCCAGGCGGGCGCAATCGCTGCAAGCGCGCGCCGAGCTTTCAGATTCGCGGCGCCCGCCTCGCAACTGCTCCCCGTGTCGGAGGGGTGGACGCAGATGCGTGGGCGGCGGTTGCGAACTGGGTCAGGCACTTGCGGTAGGTTCGCGAGGCGTCGGCGCGCGCAAAGGTTTTTGACACCGAGTCGATTGTTCAACCTTGAATCGATCGCGGCCCCGATCGTTCAAGGTTGAATTCAGTCGGGTCCAGCGACGTTGCCGCGGCCATCGGTGCTTCCGCGTCGCAAAAGCCAACCTTGAACGCCTTCGCCGGCGTCGCCGGCGCGCCAACGCCGCATGAACCTAAAGTGCGCGGGGTCGACGAATATCTTGCCGACGGGGCCCCCCCGGGTCATGTCGATTCGGGGGGCTGGTGCGCAGGCGGAAGTTGACGTGTCTAAGGTGGGAGTGCTGCCGCGTGAGGCGGAATCCCTCTTCGTTCGCCCCCAAAGAAGCAGCGGATCTTCGGGGCGTTCGATCCGCATGTGAAGCCCTTGTCTTGCATGACATGCTGGTTTCTAGATGCGAATGTTCGCGATGCGGTGGATTTGATGATTCGCCGCGGTGAAAGCACGTTGGCCTCTTCCGCGAAGGACCGGTCCGGGTCTTGAAGGCCAGGGCGGGGGCCGGCTTCGTCAGAGGGGTCTCGAAGGCTCATCGCAATAGCAAAGAGAGGAGCCTCCAGAAGGCTAAGGCGGAGCGTTCAGGAGGCCAGCCCTCTGAAATTATCGATCATTGTTTTGACGACTGGGCGACCAGATTGGCCGCGCCCGGCAGCGGGGGGCTCGACTTGCCGCTTGGGGCTGGCAGTTGGCCCGAACTGCCGCCCATTCGAGAAGTGCGGTCGGCTGTGCGCGATCTTTCTGCCGCCGCATCTGTGGGGCCGCGCTGGCTTGCGCCCTGCAGCCCGTGGCACCTCGGTGATGCGTCGCTCCGGACTGTGGCCCCGCTTGTCATGCAGTGCGAGAAGCTAGGGCGCTGGCCGCAGAGTCGGGCCCTGGTAGGTCAAGCATGGGCCGCGCCTTTGCTCGCAAGCTTGAAGCAGGGGTGGCCAGAAACGCTGTTCAACACTGTGTGACTGTTCTGATAGACATGATCGAATGCTACGAGTTAATCCAACGCGAGGCTGTGATGGCCGAGGCTGCCTCTGTTGGTTGCCCCCGTTCGTGGAGCGTGGGCGTGGATTTGCAGCTACCAGCGGCCTCGGCGCACCAGAGGTTTGAACTCGCTCAGCAGATCGCGCATTCCCGTCCATGGCATTCTGGCGGGCCGCTCTCGAGCCACCGCTCTCACGCAGATGTTGCTGTTTAGGCCCCGTGGCGCCCAGAGCTCTCGTGGATGGCGCGTCCTTCCAATGAGTTGGGCGCTCGGCGGGGCAGGCAGGGCTGCGCCAGCTACGCCCGCCCTTCCTCACCCAAACCTCTAAATCAAGAAATCTGGCGTCGCATGCGGAGGCCGCGAGAGCCGTGGAGGCGCGTGCGCGCCCGCAATCGAGGTCACGGCGCGTTTGCTGGACGCTTTGCGCGCAGAGCCATTGTGCGCAAACGTCTTGGCGCGGCCTTAGGTGAACGAGGAAGGCTCAGGGCCCTCAAGAGGGCCAGTGGTTTGAAGGTTCGTGCCTTGTGGCGCGATGGTGTTTTGCCATCCGCGGGTCATGGTGCGGGCGTCGTGGGCCTTGCAGATGCGACTCTAATGCAGCTGAGGGCAGGTGGGGGCCAGGAAAGGTTTAGCACCCCTCACGGCTTGCACGCGTATTCCCAAAAAGCCACAGGATGTCTTACCCAACTTTTGATGTCACTTGCCCGCTCGTAGCCAGATGTGCCAGCTGGGTGTTGGACGATCGGACCCCTCTAATTATGCTCAGAGCTGCTTGGAGTGCTCTCGTGGCTTGGCCAGGCACCCAGGGCTCGTGGAGGCAATGCTTTGGTGCGATTCTGGCAGTCGCTCTGCCGCTGCGTAGGATCGGGTGGAATATGGGTGCGCCTCGCAAGCTCAATGCCGATGCGGGTGAACACATGTCCTTGCGTGAATACCCCCCTCACGAGGTCCGGAATTTCGTCAGAGATGGAGTTGAGCGCTGGCTGTGGCGCAGGATTCCTTTCCATTGTCCTGAGACTTTTGGCAGCGAGTACTGTTGGGCTCGAGTGAAGCGACTGGCTATCTTGACCCTCTCAGCGGGTGCTCGTCAAGGGTCTCTCAGGACTCTCTGGGCAGGTGGGAGTTGGCCGCTCGCGCGCAAATTTGTTGCTGGCCCGTGTTCCTCTGTAGCTTGCACTTTCTGCCAAGCTCCAAAAGGCACCGTGGGTCATCAGTTTTACGAATGTCAAATTTTATGAGTGTCAGCGTGCCCTGACGTCGGGGGAGGACGCCAGTGGTGACTTCGGCTTTCCTGCTGATGCGTGGGGCCACAGGCGGGCCATGCTGGGCGAAGGGGGAGGCATTCACGGGTTTGAATGGGGCTTTGCTCCTCTGTTGTATGGCCTCCTCCCTGGTTTCGGCCGCCTGTGCTCATCTTAGGCTTAGCGGACGGATCGTGGTAGGTTTCTATTCCCTTTCAGGGCCAAGTTCGGAGGCGTCCCCGGGAGGTTGCTGACGGTTCCGCGTTGTGAAAGATGGGCAGGCCTCCAGGCGGTCTCTCAGGGCCCCGTGGGAGGTGCTGAACCATGCATCATCCATGAACACCTTGTGATGTGCATGAAGACAAAGTCGGTCTGACCACCGTTGCTTCGATCTGGTGCAAGTCTTTCTCGCACATGCCGCTCCCAAGGCGCGAGGCCTTCCCTCTGGTGGGCTCTGGCGCACAGGTCGCTTGAGGGGTTGATTGATAGCGGGGCCGAAGCTGGTGACATTTGGAGGTTCATGGGCAGCGCTTGGGCTGACTTCTTTGCAAGCTCTCGTGCCAGTTCTTGTCGCGTGCGGTACAGACCATATGTGCCAAGTCTGAGGCTAGTGGCCCCAAGGAGGTGTCGGGGACTCCGCCGAACCCAAAACCCAAAGGGGCACCGCCAATTGCTTTAGTTGCTCACCACACTGCGCCTTTGGCCACTGGGTCTGTCGGTATCCAGTGCAGACGTCGTTTTGCCAGTCAGGACCCAAGCCAATTTCAAAACGCTGCTGAAGCCTGGGGCAAGGTGTGGGCCCAACGCGATCGTTTGGGGAGGGGGGGGGGCTGCCTTTGCTGCCGTCACTGCTGCCCTGGGTGTGGAGGCGGGAGGGTGCTTCTTCGAGTGTGACGGCCACTGCCTCCACTGCGTTGGAAACTGCTGGTCCTGTGGGCTGTGCGGGGCCCGGATGGCCCTTGGCTCTCCCAAGGTTGGGGCCCTCGGTGTCCCTGCCCGAAGAAGCCTCGTAACCCTGCTCGGCGCCGTGCTCGAGAATGATTGGCAGAGAGCAGGCGCCCTGCCAAAGGGGTTACGATCTGATACTAAGTCGCTTGGGTTTTAGTGGCGGGTAACCTCTGCTTACTGGCCGCTGTGCTTCATTACCTCTCCTCGCTAAGCATCTGGATTCTGTGTTCGGACGGCTCCCTGCCCGATGGCTCGCTCGGTTTTCCCTCAATATTGAAAGGTGCCCCGATCCTATCCAATTCAGAATGGGAAACTGTTTGTTATTGTGATTTTCTTGTCCCGGCGAAGCATATCTCCTTCTTGGAACCCGAAGATGTGCATTCCTTCATTTCGTTGAACTGCTCGGGCTGCTATCTTTCCGTGGGCCGCCTCCTGCAGTGAGAGCAATTTCTTGTAGGGACCTATCGAAGAAGGGAACTTGAAGGCAGGGTTGATTGCAGCATCGTTGATGCGTTTTGGTTTACACTGGTCCTTCTCCTCCACCTCCTCCTCCTCCCTCCCCCTCTTCCTCCTCCTCCTTCTCTTCCTCCTCCTCCGCTTCCTCCTCCTCCTCCTCCTTCTGCTGCTGCTGCTGCTGCTCCTCCTCCTCCTCCTCCTCCTCCCTCCTCCCCATCCTCCCCCTCCTCCCTCAGCCGTCCTCCTCGGGTCCTTCCCGCCGAGCGCCGCGAGCAAGTACGCGCCCATGTATTTCATCCCCATGGCCGCGGGCGGGAGGGTTGGAGCTCGGTTTGGGACTGCTGCTGGCCGCGCTGCGCGGGGGGCGGCTCGGGCGGGAAGGTTCGCGGAAGAGGAGGAAGATGAGGAGGATGAGGAGGACGAGGAGGGGGCTGATGAAGATGCTGATGCTGATGAGGATGACGATGATGATGAGGAGGAGGAGGAGAAGGAGGCGGAGGAGGAAAAGCAGGAGGAGGAGGAGGAGGGATGGACACAATCAAAGATATGGGGGGAGGGGCAGGAATAGTAGGAAACGATCATGGGGATGGAGAAGATGGAGGACGAGGGGGTGATGTTGCTGCTGCTGGTGATGGTGGTGATGCTAAGGATGATGGTGACGCTGATGAGGATGAGAAGGGGAGATGATGATGACGGTGATGATGATGATGATGACGGTTTGATGTTTGACTCCACCTGCCGCGGGCGACATGGTCCACGTGACTTGGGCTTTTCGTCGCAACACTGAACGCACTCGCAGGGCAGATGTGAAACATGGCCCCGGGCTGTATGATAGCTCACCTTTATATCTTTAGCGTGCAACCGCTGGGATCATCTAAAGACGAACGCCGCGAGACGATCGGCGGTCACTCTATCGCAGGCTCACAGGGGCCACACGACACAGCAGCTAGCTTCTTGTCTTACCATTATAATGAAATCGAGACTACATCGTTTCACTAGGACGACCCGTTCCTTTTGTCCTCTACCGTTTCCTCTACGAACCTCCAAGGTTTTGTACTCACTCAACGCCTCCTGCAGCAAGCGGATCTGTCTCAAGAAATAATCCTCCTTCCGATTGTGTTGTCCGTCGGCTCCCGTAGCTGACGGATCTTTTCTTTGCGGGTGCTCTCCGGCTAGCTGAACTCTGCCACCATCGCGTCCCGCGCGATCGTGGCCACTTTCTCTAGTTACTGCGCATGCTTCTCCGCCTGCGCTTCGACTGTCGTCGCCACAGCCTTGCTCGTGAACTCCTGCAACTGCTATTGCGTCATCATGATATTATCCTAGTCTACGTCTGGCTCCATCTTGAGGCCGTTGCCATCTCTTTAGTGCTCCAGCTGGCCATCCAACTGCAAACACTTGTTCTGGAGTTCCCGGTTGCGAGCATTCAACTCCGCGCACTTGCTCTCAAAGCTCAACGCACTTGTCCTCAAGGCATTAAGACTTAGTGAATATGTGAGCTTCAACCTTCTGCTCTACGATCTTTACTTCGGTTACAAGCGCCATCTACTTTACCATGATACTTTCCGCCGGTGGCCAGGCCTGGGGCAAGGAACGGCATGCGGCCGGCCACATCATCTGCTCAATCATCGAAGCCGTCTAAACCAAATCCTCATTGACAATCTTTCCAACTTGCTTTCCTGGCATGGCTGGGTGACTGTTGTAGCCGGTTCTCGGAAATACCACACACTAGGGCAACTCTCCTTGATGGTGATGATGACGCTGATGATGAACGTGATGGTGGTGCTGACGATGCTGCTGCTGCTGATGAACATGATGGTGATGGCGATGATGGTGATGCTGCTGATGATGGTCATGAGGGAGGAGGCGGAGGATGATGGTGTAAGAAATTCATGGGGGACATGACATTTATCGGGAACTCTTTGAGGTTGCCGTGTGGTATTGGTGGTCACGGCATTGCGAACGCGAAAGATACTGATTTTGATGATGATGCTGATAAGGAGGAGGAGGAGAGGAGGAGGAGGACGATGAGGAGAGGCCTGTACCCGTCCTCATCCTGCTCCCGCTCCTCTCCCTCCTCCTCTCCTCCCCATGTATGCCCTGCGGACCTGGCGCCTTCTAAGAAGCAGGCAGGGGTGCTTCTAAGAAGCTCTCCCCCCTCTGCGCCTGGCTGCCCTCCTCGTCCAAGAAGCAATCTGGCGTGCTTCCGACGGCATGGTACACCTCCGTGCGACGAGCGGGCTCATCTGTGGGGGCCGTTCTGGGGATCTTTTGGGCTCGGCGATGTCCCCTGAGCATTTCCTCAGGGTGGAGGGCTCAGGGTGAAATCCATGTGGGCTTTCGCACCTCAAAAATCAATCCGTCTCGTGGTTCACTTTTTGCAAATTCAAACCTCGAAAATCAATGGAAACGGCATTTCAGATTTCACCCTTTGCCCTCCACCTAAAGAAAATGCTCGGGTCGCAGTCACCGAATACCTCGCCCACGCCACGAACGCCGATGCCGACGCGGGGAGCACCACCTACCGGGAGCGCGCCGGCAACTCGGCCGCAGACACGTGGGCCAAGCACGGAGGAGCCCGCCACGGCATGCCTGCGGAGGCCGAGGAACTCACGCAAACGCTGTACGACATCGCCCAAGAGGCCGCGCGCTTGCCGGGGTACCTCCACGGGATCCTGGCCGACGCAAGCACCAAGGGTTGCGACAACCTGGAGGCCCGATCGCAGGAGCAGCAGGAGGGCGGCACAGAGGTCGAATAGGTCGTCGGTGATGGCCCCAGCACTGCGCGCGCAAAAGCCAGCGCTGCGCCCGCGGCGGTCGACAACAACGGCGTCCGAGGAGGAGCCGCCAGCGCACGAGCCGGGGCAACTTCAGACCAGCTCAGGGCTGCCGAGGCCACCGCCTCAGGCCGCCCACCCCAGGCCCCGGTGTCATGCCTGAAGCGTGGGGCCCGTGGCGCGAGATGCGCCCGCAGCCTGGGCACTGCCGGGCGTGTGGCACGGGGCAACCACAACCACGTTGCAGAGCCAGAGGGCGCGGCTCGCGGACGGCTGGCACACAGGGCACCAGCAGCGCCGAACGTGGACGCCCTCCAGGCTGCGGGAGCCCACCTCGGCAGACCTCACCGATTGCCTGGGGCCAGCGTTTGGCCGCGGACCTGCGGCAGGACTCGCGGACGGACCCCAGACGGAGAGCAGCGTGCCTGGCACGTGCTGACCAGGGTCGAGGTCTTGGCAACCTATGGCCTGGCCGAGGATGACGTGGAGGCAACCGTCAGGCGGTGGCGTCATCGGCGGCGCGCCAGCGCCGCGGAGGAGGACGCCTCCGACTGCGAGGAATAAGCGAGGCTGCGCGCGGGGCCAACCTCTTACCAGCTCTGGCGGGGTCACCAAGCCGGCCCTTTTCCTCTCTTTTGTGCAGCCTCCTTTGCGGATTCTCATTGCATTCCACTCCACTATTTTCCTCCCCCGCATCCTCCTCCTTCTCCTCTTCCTCCTCCCTCTCCTCCTTTCCCTCCTCCTCCTCCTCTTCCTCCTCCTCCCTCCGCCTCCCTTTCCTTCTCCCGCGTCCCCTCCTCCTCATCTTCCTCCGTGGACGATGACGATGATCGAACGTGCATTGAGCTGCGCACCGTACGCTCCTCTCGCATGCCTCGGACGTGCCGCTCCCGCACACTGTGTTGCTTCATCGCAGTACAGACGTGGCAGCCCTCAGGAATTCGATTTGCCAGGGGGGTGGACTGCCGTCTGAGCCCACACCGACGGTGCGACGCGCGACATCCTGCTGGAGAGGTCCCGCGCGGCATGCACGAGGCGATGAACTCGCCGAGGTGCCCTCTCACGAGCCGGTTCCTGAATCGGCAGCCTCACTGCATCTCTGCCCCGTGAACAAAAATCCGTCCACAAATCTGACGCCATCCTCGCACGCTGCACTTGATACCCACTGCAAACGAACACGGCGAGCCGTTCACAAAATGCGTGCTATTGGGAGCTAAGGTTTGATACCCACAACTTACTGCTTACTGCTCAGCACTTGCTGCTTACCGCTTGCGGCTCACTACCTGTTTCCTACTGCGGACTGGTTGCTAAACCGTGCTCCCTGTCTGCTGTGCTTGCTGCTGGAGTGGTGAGCTGCCCGCCCCTCCCGCGGCGGACCCTTTTCTGACCGCGTGCGAGGTCCCGCCGCACCCACCGCTCCCAGACCCACGGCAGCCCCCACGCGCGCTCGTGTGTCCTGGACAGGGTCCTGCCCCCCTCATGGAGCCAGCAAAGAGGAGCCAGCGGGGAGAAGGAATGAAGATGAAGGAGGGAGAGAAGAAGGAGTGTGGGGGAGGAGGGGGGCGAGCTTGGCGAACTCCTGGAGGGCAGGGTGCACTGGAGACCTCTACCTGGTCGCCCTCTCCTCTTGCTGCTCGGTGGGGCTGGGTGTTGGACGGGGGTCCCTGATGTCACAATTGCACGCTGCCTGCGAAGTTCATATTTCTTTTCCCTCTAAGATAGGCTGCGAAACGACGACGGCGTGTGGCTTGCGATGCAATGCGATGCGAGGGGGACAAGGCGGATGAGAGTGGAGGAGGATCAGGCGTATGGAGGAGGAGGAGGAGGAGGAGGAGGAGGAAACGGAGCAGGAGGAGGAGGAGGAGGAAACGGAGGAGGAGGAGGAGAAGTAAAGAGGCTGGGGCCGATGATCATAATGAGGAAATGAGGATGGAGGAGGGTGATGGGGACGATGACAGAGAAGGTATGAGGAGGGGAGGAGGCTAAATGGGGAAGGGGATGTAGAAAACAAGATCATAAAGAAATGCGATGGGGCGAGCCCGGGGCCTTTTCCCCCTCGGACTCCTGGGGGGAGGGGCAGAGTCAGTCGGAGCCCTGGCGAGGCAGTGGGACTCGGTCCCCGGGAACTGGCAAAGACGAAGCGCCGCCACGCTCACACGCGCTGCGGAAGCCACGAGCTCGACAGGACGCGTTTCCAGGTGTGCGCCAGAAACTGCAAGCATGGGCAACAACGCATCGAAACGAGCTATGCATCCGTCGAGCCGGCCCCCAAGGCTGACGAAGACTGGCCAGAATGCTCAGAAGACGAGCTGGAACGGATGGGGCGGGCAGAGAATATGATGAGTCAGATCAGGGTGAGGTGGGGCACGCCAAGACTGCCTCTGGCGATCAGAGCAAGGGCCCAAGACGGCCTTTAAGATGGCTCAAGCTATCCGCCGACATACCATACCTCCAAGAGGCCCCAAGACAGCCGCAAGACGGTTTCAAGAGCCCTTCGAGCCTTCCTCGGCACCCTCCAAGAGGCCAGAATCCTTCAAACACCTGTGACAAATCATTGTTGTTTGCTTTCTTACTTGTTTTCGCTTCCGATAAGCTTCTGAAACCTCAAGATGGCCCCCGGGAGCCGCAGGAGGGGCCCAAGAGGGTCCCGAGACAGCCTCAAAAGCGCCCAAGGGATGCCTCAAAGTGCCCCGAAGAGTCGCCCGCCGCATAATGGCGGTCCCGAGCAAGGGGAGCGCGAGGCGTGCGCCCGAGAGATGAACGCTCTCCCGCAGGAGCGGGTACGGCCTGGCCTCGCGGGCGAGGAGAAGATATCTCGATCCTCGAACGAGCCGAGCCAGCAACGAGTGCGGCACTCCTGCGAGAACGCCCCGCGGAAAACATACAACTTGGGCGTCGCTTCGTGGCGGGCGATCGGTGATGGGGGGGAGGAAAAGTGTATTTTTCGGGCCTTTCGGTCTCCATTTTGGGCCCTGAAAGGTCCCTTTCTGGGCCCTTGAAAGCCCTTTTTCTGCAGTCATCGCTGCCCCCCCCCATGTATCGCCCCACCATTACGGAACGCCCAAACAACGCGGACACGTGCTGTTCCCGGAACCGCTCGACCGACACCGCGGCTCGGACCAACTGCCAAGCGCCAGGGGTGTGCCCGCGGGAGCGGGTGCCAAGGGCGGCCGCCAGGCAGCTCTTGGCAGAAGCAGCGCAGTGAGGCGGGTCGAAGAGGCGGGGGGGGAACGCAGCAGGGGAGAGGCAATCTGCTCCCATTGTGTTCCGTGTTCTCTCCCATTGTGTTCTGTGCTGTTCTGGAGAGCACAGAACACAATGGGAACGCCCACTTTTTGTCACCCGCCTGTTGCCTGGAGGTCCAACATCGCATGCGGCGAAGCCGCAATTCAAGCTGTCTGTGCGGAAGTGTAAGGACAACGGCGAACTTTGGCAGCAGTGCCGCCTTAACAGCACAACTCACAGAAAACGTAGAACATGCCGAGTTGGCCCAGTAGGGCCACTCGGCGCCCGCGGGGAGAACGGACCCGCGGGGCCCCCAAAGGAGAGAGGGAGCACGCATTTTGCTGAAGACTGCGGCAGCAGTGTGCGCCGTCCTTGGCAGCCGGGCGCGTGTGCCCTGTGGCTCCACGCCCTGGCCCTGGCCTGTCCCCCTGGGCCCCTGTGGCGCGGGCGGGGGGCAAACGAACGGGCGGGTCGGGCGGGCTTTCGAAGAGAGAGGGGCTCGCGCGTTGCGAGACCAAAAAGCTCGAGCGTGCCCCTCCCTCTTTCTCTGACCTCACAATTAAAACCTCAACGTTCTAGGCCACCGCACAGACCAGCCAAGTTTAAACGGCAGGGCTCGCAGAAAGCGCAAAACATGCCGAGTTGGCCACGTAGGGCCACTCGGCGCCCGCGGAGAGAACGGACCCGCGGGACCCCCAAACGAGAGAAGGCGCACGCATTTTGGTGAAGGGAGCGGCAGCAGAGTGTGCCGCACGTGGCAGCCGACCGCGTGAGCCCTGTGGCTCCACGCCCTGGCCCGCGGAAGCGGAAGCGCCTGCTCCCCCCGCCTGGAAAAACCAATCCGGCTGCGTACGTGGCACCAGCCAGCGCTGCAGCTGCGGGCCCCCCCGGCCCCGCTGCACTGGGTGCCCGGCACTGGCTGATAGACACCCAGCTCTCCTCTCTTTGCCGCGCGCGGCCTCAGGTCTGGCGCCAGGCGGCGCAGGGTGCGCGGCTGGCGCTCTGGCCGCGGGCCCCTCCAGCCCCGCTGCGCTAGGCCGCTAGGCGCCCGGCGCTGGCTGATGGACGCCCAGCTCTCCTCAGGTGGCGGCCCTGGCCCCGAGCGGGGGCGCCGGCGCGCCCGCGGCTGGCGCCCTCGGGAGGGTGGCTGCGGCCCCCGTCTGCGGGCTGCCTGCTCCGGCGGCTGGCGCGGCTGTGGGGCCGTGTCCTGGGCGGCCTCGGCATCGTCCTCCTCGAAGCGGACGCGCCGATGACCTCGTTGGCCTCCTTCAGGTTCGACGCGGGCCGCCCGTCGGGGCGCGCGGCCACGTCGCCTCCTGTCAGCACCTTGCTGCGGCCCCAGCCCTCGCTCCACGCGTGCTCCCCGACCCGCGTCGGGAAGAACCAGGCGGTGGCCAGCGCGTGCCAGATCACGGCACGATCTGGCACGTCGGCTGGTCCTTGGCGAGGATCAGCTTCATCATGCGCGCCGTAGTGGGCAGTTTCCGAGGGCGCGCTCCATCTCGGCGTGCGACCCTCCCAGGGCCAGCCAGACCCGCGGCTTGCCAGCAAGAGGGTCCCCGCTACGATCGCCACGCGCTGGTGCTCGATGCCGAAGAGGCGCTGCTTGACTGTCCCTAATGCCTTCATCATGCGCGCTCAGGTGCGCGATGGACAGCAGCAGCTCCTCTTAGTCGTTGCGGCGTTCGTCCGCCGAGGCCGCCCCCCCTTGAGATTAGGCGATCACCCTCGGATCCGACAGAACTGCGTCCACCCCCAGACCGTCTTGTAGTCGCAGATGAGGCCCAACGCGCGGGCCCGGGCTCCTGCTTTCGATCCTCGGCTGACGAGTGCGGCCTGACTCTCACCGACGAAAATGAGGTGGCGAGGGTGGCCATTAGCCCCGCGGGCCCGCACCTCGCTGTACTTCGCGCTGTCGACTGGGAGCGAGGTCCCTGGCCCGACCTGCTCCGGCGGCGGCGGCGGGTGCGGCCCAAGGGGGCTGGGCGGCATCGGCATCCGAAGCGCCCGAGGCATGCCCGAACTGGGCTGATCAGGAGGAGGTCGACCGCGACGGCGAAGCCCAGACAGCCCCGACCCCCGATCGATGCGCGCAGGCAACCCAGGGTCACCAGGGCAGAGGTCCAGAAAATCGGGGCGTACTCTCCGAAAGCGGCCCCCAAAGCATGGCGGAGTGGGGTCTCAATGAGCCCTGCCGCGGGGTTGTCTGCAACAGCCGCGCGGCCCAGGCGGGCCCGCGCCGCGGCGGTCCAGCTCCTGGCGGCGGCGCGCCAAGCGGGGGCGGCCGCGGGTGGGGTGGAGGCCGGCCCCCAGGCTGGCAGCCAGCCCAGGGCGGTCTGCATGCTGGACTGGGGCGGTGGCTCAGGGCCTGGGGCTAGCGGCCCTCCCATCTCCTAGTAGCCGTCATCCTCCTCGTCCTCGTCGTAGCCATCGTCCTCGTCGTCCTCGACGGTGATGTGTGGCGCGGCGTGGCCGACGAGCTGGGCCGCAGTCGTGCGCAGCGTGCCTTGCTCAGCCCCGTAGCAGTATCCGTAGTGCTCGTAGTGCTCGGCGGGGGCTCCTGGCGGCGGCTGGGCCGTCACTGGCAGCAATGGCGCCGCCTAGGTGGGCAACGCGTCCCTGGGAAGATCCGACCCCTGCCCGACTCCTCGAACGAGTTCAACAGCTGTCTGCCCATCGCAGCCGTCAGTCATGGCCACCAGGGATACCGCATCATCGAGCTTCGCGAAGCCTGAAGCGGCCACATGACCCAGATCATCGTGTGTGTGTGTGTGTGTGTGTAATATTTCTGCTCCAGGCCCTCCAGGAGAAGAGACTGCGTGCGGGCCGGCGGCGGCGGCTGCGCCTGCGCCTTAGTGCAGGACGGCCGCGAGAGCCGGGGCCGCGAGCTAGGCAACTGCCGCCGTGGCTGTGGAAGAGAGGGGCTTGCGTGCTGCGAGCCACAATGGCTGGAGCGTGCCCATCCCTTTTTCTCTGACCTCTCACCCTTTTAAACCTTACGTTCTAACTTACCGCGCCGAACTGCCAAATCCTATGGACACTATCGTCCGACAACGCTTGCAGGCGAACTGCCGAGGGCTCCACGAAGACTGACCTAACACAAGAACGACCCGACGCAGGCAAATGCGAATCGCCGAAGAACACACGTGGGAACGCCATGTGCAAGGGAAGTGAGCGCGGCGTGCAAGATGCAGGAAGGGGAGAAAGAAAAGGACAGATGAAAGAGGAGGGGGAGGAGGAGGAGGAGGGTTGGTGTGGTGGAGCAGAAAGATATAGCCGATGAGGAGAGGTGGAAAGATCATCGCACACACTCTCAAGACCCAGCGTGCAGACGACAGCGGCATTTCGCGGCGCACAAACGGGGCTAGGGCAAGGTGGGCGGCCTTCCAAGTAAGAAGATATCGGAGGCTTCTGATAAGGGTCTACATAGAGGCAGAAGCCATAACACATACATAACCTTTCGCACGTCCGCTCGGATCTCCTAGATCTGCGCTGGATTCTCCTGGCGGCGCCTCCGGCGCCGCCCCTGGCGCGTTCCGCGCGCCTGGTAGGGGGGTCCAGCGCCGATCCGAGAAATCCGTGCGCATGTCCGAAAATCTAGGTTTGTGCAAATAATCCGTCTTCTGTGGAAATTTCCGAAAAAAAAAAACTTCATCGACGATGGGGGCCCCCTGCCTCCTTAGAAGGCCGCCCGCCATACCCCCGCGCCTCCTGCTCCTGTTCCTGCTCCTCCTCCTCCTCCTCCTCCTCTTGATATCCTTCTCCTCCTCCTCCTCCTCCTCCGTTTCCAGCCGTTCTGGCACAAGTTTTTGTGCTTGTTGACGCCAGCTTCAGAGCGGCACTGCGTCAACGGGCCTTTGGCTCGGCGTTGGGTTTCTTTCTCAGTGATCGCGGGTGTATGACACCCCAGTCTTCCACTCAGCGCCATGGCGGTGGCAAAGGACAGGGGCGTGGACAATGGCATGGTCGAGAGGATCGTGGCACGGCCCCGCCCCCCTGGCACCGTAATGGCGCGTTTTCATATTCAGACTGGTGGCGCGACGCTACTGGCACAAGCGGTGATGGCATCTCGAAGGTCAAGCGCAGCTGTTGTGGTTGCGCGAAGAATCAGAAGTCGGCACGTTTCTGCAAGCACTGCGGCACGTCGCTTGCGCTCGTTCGTCCTACTGATGGCGGTTTACCTCAGAGTGGTGCTTGGGCTCATCCACCACCAGGAGTTTTCGGACAGCAAGCTCCATGGGCAACGCAGGCACCAGCGCCCCACAGCAAGTTCCCCAATCCCGCTCAACCAGCTGGAGGACTACATGGTGGGGGCGCCCATGCTGGCGGGGCGCTCAAGGCCGCTCCACTGCCAGTGGGGCCCAAAGCCAGTTCAGCTCGACCGAGGCTAAGCAGCTCGCCGAACTTGCACGCAAATGAGGCGACCTGTCCACGGCTGGCAAGTACGAGGCGGGGCACAAGCGGCTGGTGGCACTGGAGGCGCCCAAGCGGCCCACCCCGCTGCGCCAGCGAGTGCAGTAGCAGTATGCAGTGGTCACGCGGCTGGAGAAGGCGCTTGACAAAGAAGCTGACAAGCTCCTGGGCTGGCGGAGCGACATCCTGGCCCTCGAGGGCACCGTGCGCGACATGCGTGCCGAGTTGGAGGAGGCTGATGCGCTCTACAAATCGTTGGTCACCGAGCTGCAGCAGCAGGCCTCTGTGGGACAGCCTCCTGGTGCTCCGACAGGCCCTGCCAGGCTCAAGCTTGAGGACCTGTGCGACGAGTCCTTCGACCTGGGCACCTTCCTCACCATCGATGAAGTCAGTTTCTTCGAGGGGGGCGACCAACTCGACCCCGAGGGCCGAGATGAGATCGCCAAGCGGAAGGACGACCTCAACACAGGAGTGTCCAAGCTCGCCAAGGACCTGCTGGGCCCGCTGGTGGCAGCTGCCAAGGCGGCCCGTGATGTACATCGAGAACACCTCGCCAGGATTGCGGCTAAGCGTCGCGCACATATCGCGGAGCTGCTGCAGGAGGAGAAGAGGTAGGTACCTGTCCCTGTTCAGGAGCCAGCACCAGCTGAAGGAGCTCGTGCTGAAGGACAGGGGGCCGCTGAGCCCTCAGGCGCAGCAGCAGGGCCCGCGCTCGCTGCTGCTGAGCCGCAGGCGACAGGTGGTGATGGAGCCCCACCTACTTCTGATGATGTGCGTGCCAAGGCAGGCAAAGCCCTCCACCCCCCTTCCCCCCGCCCCCGCTGGGGCGGGGGGAGGTAGCGCAGCATGGCCTGGTCGCGCATCCGTCGTAGCATGTGCCTGTCAGTCCCAGCGTCCAGGAGATGAGCGCCTACGAACATGTTTGCTTACCCAGGCCTCAAGCAAGCTATTCTTGCCCCCTGGGCCTCCTGGGAACGTATATGAGCCCAAGAAGCCAGGTGCGGCAATCACCACCTTTTGCCAATGATGGTCTCGGATTTGTCGGTCTCAGAACGCCTTCCCTTTTTGGGTCGTACTCATTCCCCGCCGACGGAGTTAGACGCTCCCTCGACTGGTTGCAGACAGTCTCCTGCCACTCTCAATCATTGGCACAAGCTGTTGAGCGCGCCCTCGCTAAAGCTGCGGTGGCCACCTCGGAGGACCCCCCCGAAAGACCGCACCTGGATAAGCGGTCCCGTGGAAGGCGCGTGCAAAACATATTGCAGGCGTCCAGCCCTGCTGCCCGCCAGGTGGTATTTTTTGGGTCCGAGGGTCCCGCGGCCGACCGACAGGCTGTGCCAGGACAAAGTTTTTCACGCGCCCAAGCATCGCAGGTTTTTCCGATGCACTCCCCGAGCCCAGCCCTGGGGAATCTAATGTGGAGCTCGCGATTCAGACTGCCAACGTTACCTCCTCGTGGCACTCCGACTCGGGAGGTGGGCTCAAAGCTTGGTTGCCGAACTGTGGAGCACATATTCTTCTCATCCAAGAGCGCCATCTGCTGGAGCCTGAGCTCGCGGGGGCCATAGGGTGGGCGAATCGGCATGGGTGGAAAGCGGTTCTTGGGCCAGCTGCTCCAGGAAGTGGGCATGGTACGTCTTCGGGGGTCGGCATCCTGGTCAAGGACTCTCTTGGGTGCCACGCGCCCCCTGGTGGGCACATCATCGATCAGCATCGGTCCATCGGTGCCATCGTGCATGTTCCTGGAGGGGATACCGTTTTCGTTTGTAGTACCTACTTTGCGTACCGTTGAAGGGCTTTCGGAGGCCAGTGTCGAGCTCCTGGCACACATCGGCACTGTCGTGGAGCAGGTGGCCCTCCCCTCCACCATCGGTGCTGGTTTCAACATGAGTCCCGACATGCTTGCTTCCTCGGGCATCGTCAATAGGTTGTGTGCGCAGTTGACCATCCCGAAGAATGTGGTCGGCACGTGTGGCACGAGCATGCTCGATTATTTCATCGTTACCTCGGGCCTCGCCAAAGGTATATCACACGTCGAAGCTGCGCGCACTTCTAATATCGTCACCCACCTACCAGTACAGATGCGGTTTCACGCTGGAGCTGGTCAACTGCATGGGCGGGTGTTTCGGAAGCCACCCCCGCTGCCGACAGAACCGCCCATCGGCCCCTGCCCACCGCCACCACCCTGGGCTGTGGTCCAGTGCGAAGCAGATCGTGCT